TAAGCATGTACTGTACAACAATCCAGCAGGAAAAACTACTTTTACAAAGAGAAACATGAAATATAAAACAATGAATATAGGTATACGTCACAAATATGACATAAAAATGATAACATAAGTATTTTTTTAGTCACTTAGTAACTGTAGTGACAGAAACGTCAACAAACTCAAGTGCAACTGTAAGAACCTTTGAGACAAAGTTATTAATGATATAATTGTTGAATACGAATTTAAATTAATAAGAGGAAAATTCTAAATTTGGGATTTACGGAATAAAATTTTTTTTCTTTTTTCTATAAACCCTGGAGATGGGTGTGCGGTAAAATCTCAGCAGTAGCCCATCTGGCAACTATGCCACATTCAAAGTCAGTTGACTCACCAGTGTTACTCATTCTGATGCTCAGTTTTAAGGTACAGGAAGCAGATACAAAGAAAACATGAAGAATTAATCAAACATGATGTTTTTGTTGGAGAACCAGCAGAATAAAGAAGCAGAGAGGAAATTATTTGATTAACAGTTTAACAGTTTTTTGATTGATCAGGATTCTTATTAAATAAATAAAGTCATTTTAGTTTTTTATTTTAAAAATCACACAGTGAAATAAAATCAAAAACAGCAGACTGTCGTTCATAAAGGTAATCTTCACCCGTATGTGTGTGTTCGTTCATTGGGTGAACGTCTCCTCCATGTTTGACCAGGAGGTGGCGCTGAACACTCAAACCATCTGACAGGTGAGGTCCCACCAGCAGCCAATAGGAAGGCTCCCTGCTCAACCTGGAGGATAAGGAATTGATTGTTCGTCTGTTGGTAGAGGAGGAGAGAAGGATGTCTCACTCTGACAGTTTCTCTGGAGCTCCTGGCGTCGAGCAGTTTATGTCTCACACAGAAACCGCCATCAACCAAACGAACCAATGAAAGGATCGCACCCGGGCGACTGTTTCAAAGACGCCCGAAGCCTGCTGATATAAAACTACTCGGATTTTCAGAATAAAAACAGTGTTTATTTAACAAAAACCCAAATTATAAGAATAAGTCCGAGTTACGACTTTAAGGCGTTACTCCAGATGCTGTTTGTGAGTCACTCGGGCACTACTGTGTATTTTATCTAGATCAATTAAGGAGTTTCGGCAAAGTTATATGTTTAAAAATCAAATATATTAACACTAATATCCAGACCTCCCTCTGACCCGCCACCCTCTCCAGCTCTTCTATGATGACCCTGCGCAAAAACACCCCACTTAGGAGTTATTTAGAAGATTTACTCTAAAGAAAACAAACTGGAGGCCCGATTAAAGAATCTGGTGCCGCAACCTGGAGCCATGCCTTATCAGCATGGGCTTATCAGCAAGCACCTCGTGGCCAGGACTTAACCCACGGACCCTGGCTGGGCTCTGCCCGAGTGAACTGCATAGGTCCACCCCACCTGTGGGTCAATAACCAACATATGGGTACTGGCAGTCAAAATGAGGCTTATTTTATTTTATTATCTTTTTTTTTATTTTACAAAGAGAACCTGTACATATATACAAAATCGCGCGTGTATATTTGTTCGGCTTTGTATTTTATTTTACAATACTTTTTTTGGCACACGTGACCTTCCA